CTTACAGCTGCATAGTACTCCATTGTGTATATGTACCACAGCTTTTTTATCCATTCGTCTACTGATGGACACTTGGGCTGTTTCCAGATCTTAGCTATTGTAAATAGTGCTGCTATGAACATGGGGGTACATATATTCTTCCTGATTGGTGTTTCAGGCTTCTTAGGGTATATTTCTAGAAGCAGGATCACTGGGTCAAATGGAAGTTCAATTTTTAATTTTTTGAGGAAACTTCATATTGTTTTCCACAGTGGCTGCACCAGTCTGCATTCCCACCAGCAGTGTACTAGAGTCCCCTTTTCTCACAGGTTTGATTCCAGTCAAGGGCACGTACCTCAGTTGTGGTTCAGTTGGGGCTCTGAAGGAGGCAACCAATTGATGAGCCTCTCTCACATCGATGTTTCTCTCTCTCCCTCCCACCCTCCTTCCCTCCTACTTTCTCTGACGATAAATGGAAAAATATCCTTGGGTGAAGATTTTTTAAAAAAGAACTAGCTAGGTGGGTTTGTCTCTTTCAACCAGCATTTGATAAGCATTCTGTGGCAGTGTGTGCGTGATTCCTTCTCCTCGAAAGTGCCTGAGGTGAACTCCTCCTGTGAGGCGTATGGGCGCATGTCCATTTTGCTGGCCAGCATGGCAGGCACAGGGATCCTTCTGAAAAGCAGATCTGATCATTGTCTTCCCCCATTGAGAAACCCGAGGAAACTGCTGACCCTGCGTGTGCCCAGAGGCAGTGTTCAGATGTCTAATGTGGCCTTTCTCACCTGTCTGCCCTCTGACCCCTGCCCTCGTGCTGCACTCCAGGGGGGCCATGCAATGCTCTCACCTCTGGCCTTCTCACACACTGCTCCCGGCTGAAACTCGCTCCCCTGCCCTCACTGCCCACCTCCCACCATCCGCCTGTTCTCCACTGGAGCATCACCGCCTCCTGGAGACCTTCCCTGTGCACCCCACCCGCCCCGCCGCTGTCCAGCCTCAGACGTGTTTCCTCTGGCGTGCCCACTGGCCGGCGCCGCCTGGTTAACTCCCGCTCCAGCAGAAGTGTTCCCAGCTCCCAAGGAGTTACATCCAGGTCTGGTCTCCTTCTTTTTTCTTTAATTTAGTGCTTTCCAATCATTTCCATGTCAGGGGATGCAGCAGAAAGTTAGAGTATTTCCACAGTGGGGTAAGCTGAAGGAACTCTTAAACCCAACAGGAGTGCGCTCCAGCCGAAAGCAACCAGCCTGCAGAGTCCGGCTCTCGGCAGAAGGAAGTGAACCCGTAAGTCGTAGTACACCATGTGCCCCACATGCGCCAACAAGGAAACATCCCTGCAGGTCCTGTTTCCAAGTTATTTTACTTACTGATTCTCAGGGTCTCGTCTGTAAAATGAGGATAATACTATCTCAGTAAATAAGTTTCACTTTGTTCATTTTTATTTTATTTTTAATAAAAAATAGTTTTTTCCAGACCCAGGTTCTGGAAAAGCTTCCTCCAGTGCAGCCAGTGGAGGTGTAGACTAGCGTAAACTCTGGAGCGTGGACGGCGTGCAGGTCAAAATCCCTGAGGTCTGGCTTAACAGTCTCACATCAGGGAACTTATCTCCAGAATTATCCTGATCAGTGCTCTGAACAACTGTCTGTCTGTAAGATATTCATCCTGACATTATTTCTAATTAAAGAAATGGAAAAATAGGAAGTATCCTAGCAGGGCATATTGATGGAATTAATTGTGGTATATCCATAGAATGGGCCACTGTGTAACTATTAATGATGAAGATATAAAAGAATTCTTAATGGCTTAGGGAAACTAGCTTAGGGAAACTATTAAGATATATTGAAATTAAGTAACAAAACCACAATTCAGGATGTTCTCAGTTATTTTTTTAGGTAGACATATTATTAAGAAAAGGCTAAAAAGAAAGAAACCAGTGTGTTTTCCTGAATAACCAGTTTGGAATTTTTTTGGGATTTTTGGTAGTTTCAAGTTTTCTAAGATGAACATAGATTGCTTTTATACTGTATGTTTTAGGAAAAATAAAGCATCACCAAAATAAACTTCATGGCCCTGGCCAGTTTGGCTCAGCGGTTAGAGCGTCAGCCCACGGACCGGAGAGACCTGGGTTTGGTTCCCGCTAAGGGCACGTACCTCGGTTGCAGTTTGTCCCCGGCCCTGGTTGGGGTCGTGTGGGTGGCAACCACTCAGTGTGTCTGTCTCATATCGATGTTTCTCTCTCTTCCTCCCTCTCTCCCTCCCGCTCTATCTGAAGATAAATGCAAAAAATGTCCTCGGGTGAGTATAAAAGAAATAAAAATCAATAAATAAAATAAACTTCATGGAGTCTGCATTTGGAGCACCTTTGCCCCTAAAGGAGAAAGCCCCGCAGTTTGCCAGGCCAGGGCTTCAGCACAGAGCCCCGCGAGGGGCCTGGTGCTGGGAGTGATCATGGCTCCCTGGGCGGTGTTCTCATTTTCCTTCACGTGCCTTGTCAACCTGCTCAGTTTTTCTCCATGGCCCTGAGCACACTGATTTAAACACCAAAATTAAGCCTCATGATCTTCTATGATTCTGAGAAGGGTCAGAAATTAAATTTCCACATACAGTTGCCTGTCTCAGTAAATGAAATGCACGTGAGCCTTTCTAAGAGGACTTTTCATAACCCCCGTGCTTTTGAACACAACTGGCTGCCACAGACCTTGGAGAAGGGGTGAACAACCTTTTTTTTTTTTCCACACAAGGTCCAATTGAGGAAAAATAAACATGTTTATGAGCATTTTTTTCTGGCCCAAAATAAAACTAGCTCTTTAGAATCCCATGGGGGGTGGTCTGTTTTTACACGCTGTAAACTGCATGGTTGAAAGAAGAATAGACACAGTATTTGCCCTGCTTTCAGCCGTCTGAACTCTTGCTGGGCACACGTGAAGTGGAACAGCTCAGAGGCATCGTCCTAACTGCGCTGGGAAATTATATCACGTGCTTTACTGGGGAGCCAGGTGAGAAATCCGTTTCGGTAGGTGGTGAGAGAGAGCTGGGAGCAGACAGGTAATTGAGGAGTGGAGGAAGTAGGAACCTAGGTAGTCTACTCCATCGGGGTGTTTGGGGCTGAAGGGGGATAGTAAGAACTTCGGGGGAAATAGGAATGAAGTGATCAGAGGATGACAATGGAGATAGAAGCTGAAGACCCATTTGGGAGGAGATTAAACTTGAGCAAAAGAAGAGAGTTTATCTTTAAAAGTGGAGAAGATGTCCTCTTCCCCCCAGTGGGAGGAAGGTCAGGCAGTAAGGATGAGGGTATTTGTCACTGTCATGTAAGAGGGAAGGACATCTGTGGAGGGTATCAGGGGCCAGAGTAAGTCTGGAGACTTGAGAAAGCTGGAGGGGACGTAAAACAGCCGCGTGTGAGGAATGGGAAAGGGAGCCACCAAGCACAGCAGTTACCATCCCGGACGTGGCCGATCAGCTGATCATAGGGCTCTCTCCAGCAGGAGTGGAGACAGCAGGTCCTTAGCAGATTAGCAGTGCGGATCGTCAGGGTGGGAATGATGGAAGGAAGGGGCAGAATAAAGGTCGAGGGTGCCAGAGTTGGGTCTGTGGATGTAACGACCACAGGGTCTGGAAGGGGTAGGTAGCCGGGACTGGGGGAGGAAATTCACCCTCAGGGTCGACATGCAGTAAGAAGCCTCTCGGGGCGTTCGTGGTTCTTCCTTCACAGGCGTCTGACAGCACTTCCCTTGTGTGCTCTCTGGTTCCGTCACCACTGTTCTGGCGGGTGCTGTCTCCAGTGGTCCCTGTATTCTCCAAGTCACTTCCAGCTCTGTCTGTTCCCTGGCTTCACTGGGTACTTCCACCTGCTGGGCCCTCCTGCTCCCCGAGCCCCGTTCCCAACTGAGTTCTAACTTGTCATCCTTCTCTGAAAGTTAGTCTTTTTCCTAAAGGGGCAGGGTTATAACACAGGCCTTCTCTCTGGCCATGGGAACACTGCAGCCCTGTGAACAGAGGGTATGACCTCGTGTGTGTGTGTCTGGGTGGGCATCTTCCTGGGGAAGTGGCCGCTGCCAGAGCCCGAGCTCCGAGAAGCGGCACACCGGTGGGTCCCTGGGCTCTGTGGGGACGGTTTGCTCAGGGGCAGCCTTATGGCTTCCGAAAAGAGGGGGCACAGTGGAGTCACCTTTGGTTTCTTAAGAAAGAAGAAATAAACATGCATGTAATCAGGAACGAGCAGATCCAATCTTTGTACACATTCGAAAGGTCTTCCACAAGATTCTACACGAAGTTTACTCAAACATTTGAGAGTCAGCCTTACAATCATCACCATTTCATAGTTTTACTTACACAGTGTGACCTCCTCTTGAAGGTCCCGTGTGTGTGAACGAGCTGTGGTGCGGGCACTGAACTGCAGGGGCCCTGGCCCCGCGAGCAGCCCGTGCTTACTGTGGGCACAGAGCTGGTGCCGGGCCCAGCCTGCAGCTCGCCCGGAGAGCTGCACTCAGGCCGCAGTCGTGGCCGCTACTGCTAAGTAGGGGCGGCTTTGAAATAAAGTACACGTAGCGGGGCAGAGCTCCTCCCGGAACTAAGATGCTGTTTCCCCCGGGTCTCACAGTGTTGTGTCGAGTGGTTTCTCCATAGCTATCACGTACTGCGCACTGACTGTCAGACAACCCTGTGCGCCGCGGGCGTGGGGGGGCTCGCGCCAGCCCTCCGAGGAGATGTCAGAGGTAATTAGGTGATCATCCCTCTGTACAGATGAGCGAAGTGAGGCCAGGACGGACAGGACCCAGGTTGCGGTCGAGGCCACTCTGACCCTAACTCTGTTAAGGTTGCCCCCAGCCAGCAACATGAAGAAGAGCGGGAGAGCTCCCCTTTCACGTTTGCTGAAGAAGATGCCCCAGAACAGGGAGAAGCCAGCCTGCCTCCCGGTCGCTCGCCAGATGGGGCAGATGACTCTCTCATCAGCGTCGATCCCGCACGGCTGGTTAATGGGTTGAGAGTGACCGTGTTCTGTGTTCTCTGCTCTCTTCCAGCCCGCTGCTAGCTGTGTCCTTTGCCACTTGCTGTGCTGTTCCAGGAGTTGCCCTTCTGACCTGGGGGGTGAACCCACTCACAGGAGCCCTGGGGCTCTTCAACATCTTCCTGTACACCTGCTGTTACACCCCACTGAAGAGGGTCAGCATTGCCAACACCTGGGTCGGAGCTGTGGTGGGGGCCATCCCACCTGTCATGGGCTGGACGGCAGCCACTGGCAGCCTCGATGCTGGTGAGTGTCTCCCGCGTCCCCGCGTCTGCTCCCGACCCCTGGCGCAGGCGCCCGTCCAGGAGCTCAGCAGCTCTTCAGGACAGACCGCTCCTGCCCTGAACTGCAGGACTTGGTGTGGAGTCTGTTTGATTCGGGGCCGCCTCCTCGCGAGTGCAGACGGGGCAGTCTGAAACACGGTGAGTGCGCACCTGACGGGTGACTGCCTCTGGCTTCTCTCAGGCTTGGAAACGTGGGAGGGAAAACAGGAAGCGAGCGGCCCCGCCCGTAACAACAGGTGCAGTTAAAAGTACCGAAAACTCAGGAATCAAGTCGGCCCTGGTGTTTCACTGGGGGTGTCCCCCAGGTGGAGGTGTCTGGTCCCGGGCTCCACTCGCCTGTGCCGGACGCTCCCTCGTCGGCAGGCCTGCTGCCTTGGCTCTGTCCTCCCACAGACCCGGCATTTCCCTCTGTGCAAGAACAGGCCATTTTCATTAGTTTCTAATTTATTTTTATATGATTTGCTTAAATTGTTCATGCTGTCTACAATAAAACCTTTGAGACATTTCTACATTTTTTTTGGTGGTATGTCACAACTAAATTTGCGGGGTGAAATAGCCCATTCTTACCATCTGCAAGGGAAGTTTCACAGTCTAATTAGTCAAGTAATTAGAGTTTTGACCGACACTTAGGAAGGAAGTGGTGAGGTTGCCTGCAGTACATGTAAGTACATATTTTTCACATGAGAGATCAAAGGCATTGATCGTAAACGCTGCCCCGAAAGCCGCGTCTCTGAACTCCGCGCGGGCGCTCGGGCTCCGGTGTGGCGAGCGCAGGGCGGGGACCGCGCCTTCGCCACACTGTCTCAGGTGGGTCTGATGTCCCGTCAATGTGCCATCCCGAGAACCTACAAACTCAGTGTTCTGACATGCACAGGCTTGTTTGGCCTGTGATGACCCGCCAGCCGGCCGGCCGTGTGGGAGGCTCTGTCCCCGCGGAGCAGAGCCTGGAGCCGGGCTCTGGAGCGGGTGTCGGGCTCCGAGCCAGCAGCACCTCGACAGCTGGTGCCCTTCGGAACGACCCCTTTATGCTCTTTTCTCCTTACCTCCCCAGAGGGGCTCCTAACGGTCCCTTCTCAAGGAGTCGTGAGGAGTGAATGAATTATTATTAAGTATTCCTCATTTATACAGTGGGCAAATTACTACAGATCAAGAAAGGTCATGAAATTTTACTGGTGTGCAAACTCGGAGCAGTAGTTGTCACCTGGCTGTTGTTCTGAAGACTGGGGTGCCTCCAGGCTCAGCAGGAAAGAGTGCTGGGTTCAATGTGATGTCGTCTTGGCTGAGGGAGGTCAGGGTGGACCGTGTGGGTTTGGCACCCCTGGACTAGGTGATGTCTGAATTTTTCCCCGGTTTACAATTTGAATTTAAAGAGCACACCTGCATACTACCAAACTCCTGGTCAGATTTCTCCTCCTCATTTCTGCCTGGAGCCTCAACCTTGACTTGATCCTAACTCCCTCCCCAGACTCTCCACACCTTTCTGGAGGATGCCCAGCCATGCAGGGCTCTCGGCCTCCACACCGAGTACTTACTGCTGCCGCCCCCTGGATGCCCTGCTCCAGGCCATCTGCCTGTCCCCAGTCAGGAATGCCGGGACCCTACTCAGTTTCCTCTCAGCTGGCGTAAGGCACGAGGCACCCAGAACTGCCTGTTCTGTCTAGAGAATCCCAGGCAAGGCCGGGGTCAGGGTCGAGTTGCTGCAGGAATAGGTGTCACTGGAGACAGAGGAGGGCAGTCGAATCCAGGGCCATGGAGAACTTGGTCACCTCGGCTGTGCAGGGCCCTGGGACCTAGGTTCTTGCTGAGGGCTTGATGCCCTTGTCATATTCCCAGCAGTTTCTGTGAAGAGTTTGGGCCTCAGCAGATGTCAGCCAGAGAGAGAAAGAGCTTGGACAAAGCCCTCCCACTTAGGAGTGCACGTTCAGCAGGGGCCCTTACTTTCAGGGACAGTCTGTTTTTGGCTAAGCTGCTGATAGACACACACTGTAAGTAAAATGTGGGGTACAGTCTTTCTGTGACCCCAATTTAATCACTATGTACAAACTCACTAGTGAGGGACAGCCAAGAGCCAGGCTATACCTTGTTTAAAGTAGCAGGTTGAAAATACGTATCTGGAAACACGAGACCATCCTCTCCCTGCAGTGACCCTGGCACTGAGGGCTTGTGCGACCACAGGGAGCAGGTCCTCGGCGGCGTTCGAGGTGGGTGTCTGCCACACTTTTTCCGTAGTTCGTAAAGACGCACGGTGACAGCAAGGCTTACTGCCCTGGTTCTGATTCACCACAGACCACACTGTACACCTAAAGCCTCGTCAAGTTTATACAGAAGGCTGATGCTACCTTACACAGTGCTTCCAACTGCTTCAAAAGAAGTTTCCAAACATTGAGCAAACTTGAGATGAGCAGGAACTCTTTGTATGAATGAATGAGTGTGTAGATCCTTCCGTTTTACAGAGGACAAGGCTAGGTTAACCCACAGTCAATTGCCAAATATTTGCTGAGCATCATCTGTGCAAAGGTTTCAGGAGGAAGCGATACAAAGCAGCAAGGCACCTGAAGGAAGCTAGTTTAAAGATTTTATTACCAGGATTTTAGGAACTGGGTTGAAGGGGATTTTATGCAATTTTGCCTTCTTCCAGAACTGCACTGTCTAATCAAGCACCCACATGCGGCTCTTCACATTTAAATTTAAACTTAGAAATTCAGGTCTCGTCCCTTTGGCTGTATTCCAAATGCTCACAGCTACATGTGGCTCACAGCTGCCCCGTTGACAGCGCAGACTGGAGACAGTTGTGTCCTCGAGAAAGGTCGTTGCGACAGGTCCACCCAGGAGGACACACTGATGGGCCTGCATTCCCTTTTCCTCGTGTGCGTTCGCACATGCAGTGCCAGGGCGCGGTGTGGGACCGCCCTGTGCTGCTGGCTCAGTGCAGGGGGATCCCCTGGGATTGCCGGAACAGCTCCTGGGTCCTGCCTCAGAACTTCTCATTCAGCAGGTCTGGGCAGGGCCCAAGAACTCTCCTTCTAACAAGTTCCCAGGCGCTGCTGATGCCCACGGGTGGAACCACAGAGCGCTAGCTGTTAGAACACCTTGGAAATGCCTGGGGATGGGGCAGGGGGCGAGGCAGATGGCACAGGGATGCACTAATGGTGTCATTTGTATTCGCATCAGAGGTGACAGCTCTCATCTGAGTTCTTAGGGGACTTGTTTGCTTGAAAGAACCCTTCTAAGAATAAAATGGCCCAAGATGCTTCCTTTCTTCAGTGGTATCTCCAAACCATTGTATATTTGAACCTCCAAAGACTGATCACTTTGGAGAAGCCTGTGAGTAGAGAAGTCTTTGGAATATTGTGTTGAACTATACTGATAATAAGGAAGAGAAGGGGGGTAGGGGAGGGCATGAGGGGGTTGGGGGACCACCCTGTCAGTGGAACAGCCTGGACTAGGAACAGCAGGGCTCACCACCTTCATACACGGCTTCATTGTGCAGGGTCAATTAAGGGCCTACTGTGTGCTGGGCACTGAGAGATACAAATATACTAAAACCCAGTCCTCAGGAAACCATGTCTCACTCAGCGTCTCCAGGGAGAGGCAGGCCGGTACTCGAATAGTTGGCTGAGCGAGCTTTAGCAGGGAGGGCCTTCAGGGGGCTGCGAGCTGATCTAAGAAGGCTTTGGAGCATACTGACTTCCAAATTGAGTCACAGTACACTTGGAGAGGGGAACGTGCTGTCCCAGAACAGGGAGGTGTACGTGCAGGGTTGAAGGCAGGGAGCCGGAGCAGGAGTGAGGCTGGGGACCTGATCCGAGAGGAGCTGCCGCCTGTGGAATGTGTACTTGAAAGGCAGTGAGGACGCCTTGGGGGTTTAAGCAGGAAGCAGCGGGTGTCCACTTGAGGAGGATTTCACGGTGTGCACAGGCTGTTGCTTCCGTGGTATTGGACATCCGCAGGCCTGCCTCTGTGTGTCCTCTCAGTTCCTGGCCACTCCTTCCCCTCTCCAGCAGGGCTCTCCGTGTCCTAGGCCTGCCCCCCTTCCCTAGTCAAAATTTCATCCTTTGAGTAGTTCGCGAAGCATCAACCTGGTCGTCCTTTGAAAGAGCAGCTTGTGAGCACCGAGGAAGCACAGGTGGGCATGAAGGGTAAATGTCTGAAGGGGGGTCCACTGCATATTCCACTCGTTTGCCCCACCTTCCCTGGCTGCTCAGCCAGGGCATCAAATACCGGCACCGTCGGTCTCTGGTCATGTATACCTGTGCAGAAGCCCTCTCCCGGGGCTCAGGAGATGGTGGCAGGACTGGAGAGGAAGCAGCTAAGCGCGGTGTGAGACGGGCCCTGGCTCGAGGGCGCTGCCTAGAGAGAGAGGGTAGGACATAAGCAGCTGTAGAAATGGTGCGTGTCCCTTGCCCTGGCCGGTTGGCTCAACAGTTAGAATGTCAGCCCTCAGACCCTCGTCACTGGTTCAGTTCATCAAGAACTCGTACCTGGATTGCAGGCTTGATCCCTGGCCCTGGCTGAGGTCATGCAGGAGGCAACCAGTCAATGTATCTCTCACGTCTGTGTCTCCCTCCCCCCCCCCCCACTCTGAAAATTAATGGAAAAATATCCTCCGGTAAGGATTGAGAAAAAAAGAGAGAGAAAATGGTAGGCATCCCAGTGGCTGGTGAAGTAAGGAAATGGATGTTCAGAGGTACCTTCTCCCGCGTCTTGGTGCCTAGATCGTCTGTGGTTTTAGTGGTGGGTACTGGGCCAGTGAAGCCCCCAGAGGCCCAGGCACTGAAGAGGGTCTGCTGCCTCTTCATAAAACATCAAATGAGGGTAGGATGGTCCTTTGGGCTCTGATTTTTTCCCCCCTCGGCCACTTTATTGTTTTGATGTTTTCCTATCAGTAGGGAAAACCCGGTTTCTCCTTGTTCTAGATACCCAGTGGTATGGGTCAAAGGCGTGCCTCCTGCACGGCCCCTC